ACAGTTACCAGCGTCAGCTACGTAGAAAAAGATCCTGGAGTAGAAAGTAATATTAAATACATTCTAACAACAGCTGATCAAGCTTAAACGTGCTGCTGTTGTTCAGCCGCTGGTTTCCTCTTTCTGGTGCAAAGTGGGCCAAAAGCAAACAAGAGACACGGACTCGCGACAGAAAAGCCGATCAGCTGATCATTAAGCAGTTTCATGATTGAAGTAGCAGCCGGAGAGCGAGAGGCAGTCGCTCGTTAAGCTTAATGCAGGAATGCTTTACAAACATTCAGAGATGGACTTACACACTTGCTTTACTTCTCTCGGGGATAACTTTGTCGGCGATGAAATGCCGGGTTGCTAGCGAAGCTCCAAATGCTATCCAGACCACCGACAGGTCCCGCATGCCACAGCCGCTCTATCACGTGATGCATACTGCTCCGACGTGCTAACGTTCTGAGGTGAGTTACGGCGTGTTGCAAGTTTTGTGAGGTGCTTTCGTGATATTTAATGGATCGGATTACATTTTTTATTTTTCTCCGATATCCGATCCAGTAATTTAGGTCAGTATCGGACCGATACCGATACGTAATATCAGATCGGTCCATCTCTAATCTATACAATGTCTTTTTGTGAAGAACTCCCTTCATTTAGCAAGACAAAACACAAATAATTTTGTATTACAATAATTCAGGTGCTTAAATATCTCGACTGCAATCACCCACTTAAATCTTGCAGAATTATATTCATAACAAAAACAACAAAAAACCACTACATTATAATTTGATATTTTAAGTTGTGATTAAAAGCTATCATTGTTCATAAGTGTCAGTTATTATCTTTCTACTATTTAAATTCAATAACTAAATATCAGGTTTAAATTATTTCTAAACCACTGTACCTTTACATTTTACACTATGCCCCAACATACATTGAACAATAAAATAGCCAGCTTGGAAAATGAGTCAAACCTGCAGTTATACATCCACATACATGGTTTAAGCAGGAAATCTAAACTGTACAGAAGAGGTAGGGCAGACACTGAAAAGAAATCAGCAAAAGGTGATGATAATAAAGAGTTAAGAGCTGACAGTCACTCACGACACTTGTCGATTACAAGTAAAATCAGTAAAAAATACACACGTAATTTTACTGACACATACAACTCTGTCACAAGGTATGAGTGATAAGAGCCCCCATGTCATTTTAGGCACAAAGGCAGAATGACAAAAAGGTTTACCTGATAAGAGTACAGTGTTTAACGTCAACAGGAGAGGGATGTGGGGACGTTAATGACAGAACTTCAAAGTTGTAAAAATAACTCACAGTGAGCTAATGCTGCAGATGGACGAGCTGCTAGAGTGCACGTTACTTCAACTGCATGTTAGAAAACTGCACATGCACAAAAAAAAAAAAAGGGGAACGTGGGGAAAACATATAGCATGAAGTCAGAGAAACAGCCAGACAACATTCAATTATTATCTGTCTACTCTGTCTATTAGTATCCTATCAAATGAGAATGAAATGAGGACTGGGCTGGTTTCAGTCATTATGCAAATGTACTGTTTATAAGATTAGGGAAACCTGCAGTCAGCTGAGACTGAAGAAGTCACTTCGATGAGTGACGAAATGTTTCTCCCACTGAAAATGCTACGTCCACATGAACAGAATCAACTTTTGGAGACAACCTTGAGATTCAAATTCTCAAGCCAGAGGTCCACTGACACTAACAGAGTCTAACCCTTAGAGGAGGTTTGGCAAAATTATACTTTATTCAGATGGGTGGTTTTCTTGATCATCTTGACATTTCCTAACTACATATAGGATAATGTGCAAACAAGGGGAATCAATTAGGTTTTAATTAAGGTTCTACAATCCCTTATCCTGGTTGTTATTTACATGACAGTTTAAGAAACTGGTGCAATTGTTGGTTATTTAATATATGTTATGTTAATATATCTAATTAAAGAACATTCTGACTGTGACTGCCATGGTGCCTCCATCCTGCTTGGCTGTCTACTCCAGGTTTTGTTCTTTGTCTGTTTTTCTCTTAGTATTTAATGTTTCTCCTTCTTGTTTCTCTGTGCTTGTTTTTTATGTTTATATTTGTTGGCGAGATTCATCACATCTTGCTGAGGCTAAGGCTCTGTTTTTATTGGACCTGCCAATCATCTCTGACAGAACAATACAACCACAAAAATGGACTGAGCTGACTCTTGTGAGCTGTGCTTTCACTTCAAAGGAAGTGGACTGGCATGAGCAAATGCTCCGCCACATTATTGGCGAACCATGATCGCTGAAGAAATCGCAGAGGTAAAAGGTAGTAAAAAGGTATGGTTAATCCACCATTTTCAGCCTCTATCCCCTCACCTCCTCAGATCAGAGAACTGACTGTCTCTCCACTCCCGAGGTGTTCAAGGGTGAGTTTAGCAAATGTGCTGGATTTCTTACACATAGAGTTTGCTAGTATTCAAACAAAAAAGGGCATATGAGTCAGATTGTTCCAAGATTGCTTTTTTTGTGGAGATATTTTAAGACCAGGTGCTAAAATGGGCACAGGCTGTGCTAAAAGCAAGCCCCATTCTTTCTTTTGAAGATTTCATTCCTAAATTTCGGAATGTTTTTGAGTCTAACCCTGATGTTGGCTGCTCATCAAGTAAATTTGCAATGTGTAAAAATTGATGACCATGTCCGCAAACACAGGTGAAAATTTAACTTTCCCAGAATGCTCCTGGCTCTTATTCTCCCCCACACTAACAATGTCCCAATAATGTCCCTCTGTAAAGTATTTTAAGTCATGGCCCTGGATGGAAAAGGACCTCCCTGATATCACACAAGACTCAGACTGTCTCACTCACTCTCTCTGGCAACCACACTGAAGATGTGAGCTTCTATGTGTTTGAAGCCCTTCTTACTCCTCTGGTCCTTGGTCATCCCTGGTTACGTAATCATAATGATTACGTAACCAGGGATGACCAAGGATTCAAGGTTACTTTATTTATACCTGTAAGTAAATTTGCTTGGTGGAGTATGCCCATGATGTCATGACATGCCATAGAAGGTGAGCTTGTCGTATGGCATAATCTATGCAGTTGGCACTGCCACTGGAAGGCTACCTATGCTATCCTGCTAAGGACCATGGAGCAAAATAAACGTCTTACCAATCGCAATAGAATCCCAGTGCCGGTCTACTGTCCTGTACTACGTGGGACTGGAAGAAGGGCAACTTTCATATTCTACACAGTGAGTCTTCCTTGGCTTGTACATCAAGGTTTTGTTTTTTGTCTAGCTCTCCCTTGTGTTTCCCCTCTCTCCTCTTTTTACGGGTTCCCAACTCTGGCCAGGCACACCTGCTCTAATCACCCACATGTTTATCAAGAATCCACTACTTAAGGTAGTGGATGAGGATAACTCTTTGTTTGGTAATTGGGCTAATCGGTTAGCTGAAACCCTGGCTCCTGCTACTCTGTTTTTGCTCGGATTTTGACTGTCTGTTTCCTGTGCACAGGCCCCTGGATTTCCTTCCCTGGTGTGGTGCGCTTAATCCTCAGTTGAAAGGGAGTGTGAACTGTAAATTTTGGATGTGTTGATTCGCTTTGTTCCTGGACTATTTCCCTTTTCTTGTCTTACTGAACTGTGATCTCCCGAGCGCTGTGCTAAAGTCTACCATCCTATTAGCCTTGACAATGGTCAATCCACACTATCCATCCATCCATCCATTCGCTTCCGCTTATCCTTTTCAGGGTCGCGGGGGGTGCTGGAGCCTATCCCAGCTGTCATGGGGCGAAAGGCAGGGTACACCCTGGACAGGTCGCCAGTCTGTCGCAGGGCTAACACATAGGGACAGACAACCATTCGCACTCTCATTCACTCGCACATTCACACCTAGTGGCAATTTGGATTATCCAATTAACCTATCCCCACAAGCTGCATGTCTTTGGACAGTGGGAGGAAGCCGGAGTACCCGGAGAGAACCCACGCAAACACGGGGAGAACATGCAAACTCCACACAGAAAGACCCCGGCCTGATGGTGGAATTGAACTCAGGACCTTCTTGCTGTGCGGCAACAGTGCTAACCACCGTGCCACCGTGCTGCCCGTGCAATCCACACTAATACTTTCTAAAACGATGTCTCAAAGAAAAATATTTTCGGATTAAAAGTTTTAGATATAAAACATCCACGTACATATATTTCAGATGACCATTCCTCAAGTGGGTAAATCTCCACAAGATGTAAGCGCTAGCATAGATAACAAAGATATTGAGAAAGTCTCATTTGAATTAACAAACAGTAGTCAAGGATGTTTTGTGTTCCAGATAATGACCATGTAATGAACTGTTTACATATAAATATGAATAAACAATTAACACATTCTGAACCATATGCATGATTTGATTTGTTGGATCAAGCAAAGTTTAAAGTTTAAATTTTTCTGCCACACTGGATTTGACGTTTTTGTTTTGACAAACATTAACTTTTTTTAGTCACAAATGTATTTCCCAGTATTTATCAGTAGGCAGGGATGATTGTCTCATCAAGCCTCACAAAATGATGTTTTCTGAACATGTGTCACAGCCAATCAAAGTGATTTTGCAACAGCTGAACACTAGGGAATGCTAGTATCCAACCTGCACAGATCTAATAGCTTTGGAAATACTATTCTGATATTTGTTAAGATGGTGTTTGTTATATCACAGAAGAGTTGAGCATTGGCTTTGGTCTGCAATCTCAGAGAACCATTCTAGCTGAGTTGTTTTGTGCTAAGCTGTTACATATTTCTGCTTTTTTTCTATATTTGTAATGATATTTTGTGGACAAAGATTTAATATGAACATCAAAAATGCAAAAATGTATTCTGTGTGTTGAATATTGACACAGGATGGAAGGATTTAGACTGCATACTTGTAAAGTGGTCCTTAATGTAGCTAAAGGAAAACCACCCACAATTCTTGGGAGTCACTACGATGCAGTTTATCAAGTCAGGACAAACATTAAAGGAAGTAGACTTACGCTGTGATGGAAATGTTAGCAGCTGACATGGGGCTGACTTCCTTTACCTCCTTGGCCTTCTGGAGGGCAAGTTTCTTATTAATAGCCTCCTCTTGCTCCTCTTCATCCTATAGGTATAGAAAAAAACATACATGGACACATATTTTAACTTGTGTTTATTTCAGGACTATAATAAATATCAGAATCAGAAACTTTATTGTCATTGTCATGAGAACAACGAAATTAAGAATGGTCCCCGATCATTGCATCATCCCTAGCAATATCAAAATATAAATAAAACAATAAAATTCAATAAATAAAATAGATAGAATACTTAAAATACTAATAAGATATAACAGTAAAACATTCACATACATTCCCACACACATGCTTCAGACCGTGCATAGATTAACACAAGAGTGGCGTGATGGACATTTTTTTGTAGTATTCAGATGTGTTATTGCAGTTGGATAACAGCTGTGTTTGAGTCTATTAGTCCTTGCTCTGATTGCCCTGTACCGTCTGCCTGAGGGCAACAGTTCGAACAGGGAGTGGCCAGGATGTGAGGTGTCTTTTATGATGTTTTGGGCCTTTTTAAAACAGTGGGCGTTGTGTAGAACTTCCAGTGTGGGGAGAGGGCAGCCAGTGATCTTTTGGGCGGTGTTAATGATCCCTTGGAGTGCTTTCCTCTGAGCCCCTGTGCAGCTAGTGTACCAGATGCATATGCAGTAAGTTAGAACACTCTCAATGGTGGCTCTGTAGAAGGACACCAGCAGTCTCTGCGTGATGTTATTCCTCCTGAGAATTCTCAGGAAGTACAGTCTCTGTTGGGCCTTTTTCAGCAGCTCGGAGGTGTTGTCACTCAATACACTGAGAAGTCCTTTATAATATATTTATTTTACTGTGACCATTGTTGATAGAAGGTCCACTATTAAAGAACAAGGCAAATTTAAGTCTAGCAGGAGCATTCAGAATATGGATATATTATAAGGGTAAAATCACTGAAGATTACGAGGTTCTTTTTTCTTTTGCCAAAACCTGGGCTTGCCATCTTAGGGCATTTTGACATCAATAGCATCTTTAGTCTGTTCCAAATCACTTTTCCTCACCTTTTACATGTAATCTGGTTTTCTTTCACACAGACAAAAATCGAACACATGGCACAAAGAGATAAAAGGACAAGTTTGATCTAAACGGACTAAACACCAACAGTGTGAAAACACCCTTAATTAAACCTCTGAGGTCTAAGCCACCTATTGATGACACCAGCCTTCACCCTAATTCTAACTCTAACCCCCAACAATAAGAATATATCATTTTTTGTCATATTAAATAGTGAAGTTCTGGCAATCAGGGACAAATAGATAATTCAAACTGAAACCTTTCCCTTTTAATTATTAAAAAAATCTATCTTGCCTTTCTTCTAAATATAGCATAGGTTTAGACCTTAGTTAAAATCAGAATTGTGTTTGTTTGTTTGTTTTACATCAAAAGCTTTAGGAATGATGATAAAAACAGAATAATTTTATAATATAGAATAATAAAGAATTTTTTTTCATTTTTGTGACAAAAAAATTAATATTTCATAAAAAAAATCTTTATTTCATGAGCAAATATCACAAGCTATACCACAAAACAAAACTAAAAGTAAATATTGCAACCCAAATAGAACTAAATTCTAAATTTCTATTCAATTACTACTCAAGTTAGCTAAATATATGCATGTGTTTCATTTTCAAGACCTGCTTTAAATGGCTACCATTTTGACAAGCGCAGCCCCGGAAGATTCTGAAAACTCTGGTTAAAATTTAGAAGCAAGATATGCATATATTTAACAAAATTATTTTCTCAGTTATAACTAGAAAACTATAACATTAACTATTTCACATTATGTATGAAAAAATGAAAGTGGGTCAACCAACCTTTGTTTAAATACATATGTTGAAAAGTATTTGATATATGAAGCTAAGTTTTCAGAAGTATCATTAGTATATTATATATCTAACAGGATAACTTAGAATCATAACATTATAGTGAATATGGTTTAACAGAAAATGATAACTGTGAAGATTATCAAAAAATGATCATTTGAAATGAAAATAAAAAATATGCACATTAACTAAATTAATTAATTAGAGTACCATCCAGAAACGGCCAAATTTGGTTCTACTCTGATTACACTATCTAGCAATATTTCTTATTCTTTTGTTTTTGTGATACACTTTTCCTTCAGAAAAGGCTTGAAAATGCCTAGAACTTCATAAAAAATATTTTATGAACTATCCATCCATCCATCCATTTTCATCCGCTTTGTCCGGGGCCGGGTCGCGGGGGCAGCAGCCTAAGCAAAGAGGCCCAGACCTCCCTCTCCCCAGCCACCTCCTCCAGCTTATCCAGGGGAATACCAAGGCGTTCCCAGGCCAGCCGAGAGATATAATCTCTCCAGCGTGTCCTGGGTCTGCCCCGGGGCCTCCTCCCGGTGGGACATGCCTGGAACACCTCACCCAGGAGGCGCCCAGGGGGCATCCTTGTCAGATGCCCGAACCACCTCAGCTGGCTCCTTTCGATGTGGAGCAGCAGCTGCTCTACTCTGAGCCCCTCCCGGATGGCCGAACTTCTCACCCTATCTCTAAGGGAGAGGCCATCCACCGTTCGGAGGAAGCTCATTTCTGCCGCTTGTATCCGCGATCTCGTTCTTTCGGTCACTACCCACAGCTCGTGGCCATAGGTGAGGGTAGGGACGTAGATCGACCGGTAAATTGAGAGCTTCGCTTTTACACTCAGCTCCCTCTTCACCACGACGGACCAGTGCAGCGTCCGCATTACTGCAGCTGCAGCCCCAATCCGTCTGTCGATCTCCGGCTCCCTTCTCCCATCACTCGCGAACAAGACCCCGACATACTTGAACTCCTCCACTTGGGGCAGGAACTCATCCCCGACCCGGAGTGGGCACTCCACCCTTTTCCGGCTGAGAACCATGGCCTCAGATTTGGAGGTGCTGATCCTCATTCCCGCTGCTTCACACTCGGCTGCGAACCGCTCCAGTGCGAGCTGGAGGCCCTCACCCGATGAAGCCAACAGAACCACATCATCTGCAAAAATCAGAGATGAGATTCTGAGGCCACCAAAGCGAAAGCCCTCCGCCACTTGGCTGCGCCTAGAAATCCTGTCCATAAAAATTATGAACAGAACCGGAGACAAAGGGCAGCCCTGGCGGAGCCCATCACCCACCGGGAACGAGTCCGACTTATTGCCGGCAATGCGAACCAAGCTCTTGCAACGGTTGTATAGGGATCGAATGGCCCGTAGCAATGGGCCAGACACCCCATATTCCCGCAACACCCCCCACAGGACACCCCGAAGGACACGGTCGAATGCCTTCTCCAAGTCCACAAAACACATGTAGACTGGTTGGGCAAACTCCCATGCACCCTCAAGTATCCTGGAGAGGATAAAGAGCTGGTCCAGTGTTCCGCGACCAGGACGAAAACCGCATTGTTCCTCCTGTATCCGAGGTTCGACTAACGGACGAACTCTCTTTTCCAGCACCCTGGCATAGACTTTCCCAGGGAGGCTGAGGAGTGTGATCCCCCTGTAGTTGGAACACACCCTCCGGTCCCCCTTCTTAAAGCTGGGGACCACCACCCCGGTCTGCCAGTCCACAGGTACTGCCCCTGATCTCCACGCAACATTGCAGAGGCGTGTCAACCAGGACAGCCCTACAACGTCCAGAGCCTTCAGGAACTCGGGGCGGACCTCATCAACACCAGGGGCTCTGCCACCAAGGAGTTGTTTAACTGCCTCAGTGACCTCGCCCCCGGAAATTGGCGGGTCATTCCCCTCATCCCCAGACTCTGCTTCCTCCTCGGAAGACGTGTCAGTGGGATTAAGGAGGTCCTCGAAGTATTCCTTCCACCGCCTGACAATTTTCTCAGTCGACATCAGCAGCGCTCCGCCAGCACTATACAAAGTGCAGGTAGAGCACCGCTTTCCCCTCCTGAGACGTCTGACGGTTTGCCAGAATCTCTTCGAGGCAGCCCGAAAGTCTTTTTCCATGGCCTCTCCGAACTCCTCCCACACCCGAGTTTTTGCTTCAGCCACTGCCCGAGCCGCATTCCGCTTGGCCTGTCGATACCTGTCGGCTGCCTCCGGAGTCCCACAGGCTAACCAAGCCCGATAGGACTCCTTCTTCAGCCTGGTGGCTCCCTTCACCTCTGGTGTCCACCATTTGGTTCGGGGATTACCACCACGGCAGGCACCAACCACCTTGTGGCCGCAGCTCAATGCAGCAGCTTCGGCAATGGAGACGCTGAACATGGTCCATTCGGACTCAATGTCCCCAGTCTCCCTCGGAATGCTGTTGAAGCTCTGCCGGAGGTGTGCGTTGAAGATCTCGCGGACTGGGGCCTCTGCTAGACATTCCCAGCACACCCTCACTACGCGTTTAGGTGCACCAGGTCTGTCCAGCGTCTTCCCCCGCCATCTGATCCAACTCACCACCAGGTGGTGATCAGTTGACAGCTCAGCCCCTCTCTTTACCCGAGTGTCCAGAACATATGGTCGCAGGTCTGCTGATACGATTACAAAATCGATCATCGACCTACGGCCTAGAGCATCCTGGTGCCACGTGCACTTATGGACACTCTTATGTTCGAACAGGGTGTTCGTTATGGCCAAACTGTGATTAGCACAGAAGTCCAATAACAGAGCACCGCTCAGGTTCAGATCAGGGCGGCTGTTCCTCCCAATCACGCCCCACCAGGTCTCGCTGTCGTTACCCACGTGAGCATTGAAGTCTCCCAGCAGGACAACAGAGTCTCCAGGTGGAGCACCCTCCAGCACCCCCCCCCCCCCCCAGGGACTCTAAGAAGGCTGGGTACTCTGAACTGCCACTCGGTGCATAAGCGCAGATGACAGTCAGGACCCGTTCCCCGACCCTAAGGCGCAGGGAACAAACCCTCTCGTCCACCGGGAAAAATCCCAACGTACCGGCAGCAAGCCGAGGGATATTAGGATACCCACCCCAGTCCGCCGCCTCTCACCAGGGGCAACTCCAGACTGAGACAGAGTCCAGCCCCTCTCCAGGAGACTGGTTCCAGAGCCCAAGCCATGCGTAGAGGTGAGCCCGACTATATCTAGCCGGTACCTCTCAACCTCACGGACTAACTCAGGCTCCTTCCCCACCAGATGGGTGACATTCCATGTCCCAATTGCCAGTCTTGGTAGCTGGGGGTTAGTCCGCCAGGGCCTCCGCTCCTGACCGCTGCCCGGCACACAATGCACTCGACCCCTATGGCGCCTCGTGCGGGTGGTGGGCCTGCGGGACGATGGGCCCATGTCTCCTCTTAGGGCTCTGGCCCGGCCACCAGACGCTCGCCCTCGGGCACCCTCCCCGGGCCTGGCTCCAGGGCGGGGCCCCGGTAACCCTATCCCGGGCAGGGTAAACTGTTCCCTCGATGTCCTTTTCATAAGGGTCTTATGAATCGCTCTTTGTCTGGTCCCTCACCCAGGGCCAATTTGCCATGGGAGACCCTACCAGGGGGCAAAAGCCCCCAGACAACATAGCCCCTGTTATTATGTTTATAACTAATAATGGCATAACACAAAAATTGGCTTTTGTATTACACCAGGTGTTATAGCATTAGCAGGGGACTTTTTCTGAGAAATCCAAGATAGTCAGCGTTATAAGCATTTGGCCAGTTGACATGGAATGTCCCTGAGGGCTAAGTAAAGAAGATTGCAAGAGTTCTTCTACACCTTCCAGTTATCTAAAGAACTCGATCCTTAATCTAAGGATGTCCATCAACCTACTCATCCAAGATTATGACATCATAATGATTACATCATAATCTTGTCAGTGCTGTGTCTTAACCCTCTGTCATCACACCATGGCCCTTTATTTAGAGAAAACAGGCATAAAAATAGATCAAAAATCTGACTACCTTTAGTTAAAGTTAAGACTGAGGATGATTCAGAGGATTAAGAAAAAAATGAAGTAAAGGCCATGGAAGATTTTACTAAGGGTGAAAAATTAAATGAAATATATAACAATATATCGTACCTTAGTGAGCTCCTGGGCATTTGCAAGATTATCAACAGCAATGGCCAAGAACACATTGAGGAGGGTGTCTGGTTATTTATGTTCTCAGGAAAACACCAAAGGATTGATAAACACAGAATCAGTATTTACAGGTCCAGCTAATCTTCAAATCAATAATAAAAACTTTGGCAGGGCTATAAAGCTGCCTGGTGTCAACAAAGAGAATCTATCTTGATATATGAGGCAGGATACAATTTCCAAAGAGAGTAAGTACGATGAAATAAATGGAAGAGAACATTCCCCCATGCACACCCCCCTGGGATTCAATCCCATGGTACATGACTGCGTTCCAGTCCTCTCCAGTTAGGATCTGCAGGGGAGACAGAGACTGCTTTAGGGGTCCAGTTCAGTGGTAGTATGAAAAAATATAACATGACTTAATTGATCTTTACCTGGAAGACGGTGAGAATGGCTGCTGGGAATGTGTCAAAATTGGTTGTCGGTGTTTCGTCTTCAAAATTAAACCTGCAGGGAGATGAATAGTCTCTGACTGTGATTAGTCTACAAAGCCTCAGCACTATACCTCTCACTCATCCTCCACCTCCTGCTGTATTGAGCAACTTATTGTCCTCTCAATTACACTCCTGTAAATTATTCCAAATATATATGTTTATCATTAAATTTGAGTCATCTGAGGCTGTGGGACCTCGTGGTTGATCACTGACTATTTTTCCTTCTCAAATTTAAGAGGCTTGTAGTGGTGTCTGTCAACTGGGACTTAATTACTTCAAACCCAATGTAGGCAAAAGATAATCATGCAGGGTTCTTGGCTAGCATTGCGTTAGCATGCTGTTTGTTCAGAGGCTTGCAAAGAGCCAAAGTTCTGTTAGCAGTATAACGTGTTTTGTTTTTTTTAATTAATCATTGTTTCCACTTTGCTGTCAGTTATCCTTTTGTGCAACCAAAATATATGTAATATTCACATCTCCATTTCTCAATCCTTGTATCTCTATATTGCTTCACCATTGTCCTCCACCTGCACACCAACCTAAATCAGTTGATTGTAGTGGTAGCGGTATGAAAAGGGGGGTGGAACAAGACGCTTGGACACTGATAGCACGTCGCGCTCACAGAAACGCAAAGCAGGAGATGAAGCATAGCTGAATATGTTTCCAAACCAACTTCATTCTGAGCCAAAGACTAGAAAATATGCCTCTGCCTTTCTAATATTGATGGGTCGGTCGCGAACGAAATGGCTCTTAGAGCCGGATGTTTGAAGTGAACGATGTGAACCGGCTCCTTATTGGGAGCCGTGGGTTTGTTTGTTTTTTTCTTTCTCCTGCCCTCTCTTTCACTTTGTTTTGTTTCACGCTGCAAGTCACCCTTGTGTTTGCGCTGAGCAGAGATGGCAAACAGAGTCTTGCGTTTGCGCCCCTCCCCCCTCTGCACAGCACTGAGCTGAGGGGGCTGGGCGGTAGTTACACTCGCAACAGCAGTAGCACACAACAAGAGCAGGAGGGAGAGGGAAAGAAAGAGAGCCGGGAGCAACAAGAGACAACACCGTCACATTGGAAAAGTACAGTAAAGAAAATGAGTGACACAAAGAAAAGAAGCAAAGTCTGGAACCAGACGTCAATCTTATTGACAAAAAAAAGGCAGAGTGTCTACAAGAAAAGGATATCATATAGAGCCAGCTCCACAAACAACATGCACAGGCACCTAAGAACTGTCCACCCATCAGTGCAATGGGAAGATAAAACGCAGTCAGTTGAGTGTGATATTAATATTTCTAAATGCCAACCTTTCCCTTAATTAAAGATCTGGGCGTTCTTTTTTTCCCCATATTTTAATTTATATTTTATTGTTTTGTGGTTTGCAGTGTTTTGTGTTGTTTCACTTTGAATTTGTTTAAAAGGAAAAAGCTGAAAATTTAAGTAGTTAAAAGTTGAAATGTATGAAATGTAAATAGCTGGTTTCTGTATTTTATAATTTATTTATTACATTTTATGTGGCGTGAATAAATAAAAGTATATTTACAGAGACAAAACACGTACAAACTCCAAAACACAACGGAAATGCTCCAGGATGCTAGGGGCCGTGTTGAGATTTTGTTACCTAGTGGCTACACAAGCCAGGAAGTACCAACAATCGGATTGAGTGTGTGGTAGTAACAGGTAAATGAAGATTTTTTTAAATAATTTGAATATATATATATATAATATATATATATATATATATATATGAGTGTTTGTGTATTAATACAAAAACAATAGACATATGAATTCGATTGTGTAATTTAAGTGATCTAGGTAACTCTGTTTTGGAAGTTCAGTTAACTCTAGAAATGTGTTTGTACGTGCTTTGGAATTTCTAAGTGCTTTGGATTTTGTACGCGTTTCGTCTCTAGGGACCCCCATAAATATTTATATATAAACATACATAAAGAAAACCACGTTTTTTTACATTACTAATTCCTTTTGTGCATAATTTTATATTGTTGTTGATAATTAATTAATTAAAGCAACAAAACAACCTGAAGAGGCGGTTGGGAGCCAAAAGAGCTGGCTCTTTTTAGTGAGCCGAGCCGAAAGAGCCGGTTCTCTAAAAAGAGCTGGAAATCCCATCACTACTTTCTAAATGGAGGGACAGTAACTGCGTGTGTATATGTAAGCATGTAAAACCTGAAGATGGTAAGATTAACAGTAACAGTATTTTGTCTTTACCTCCCATTCTGCAATTCATCTCATGTAAACGTGGCGCACAGCGTGACGTGAAAAAAGGCACATACCTTTGACGTTGCGTGATGAACTCTGTATTCCTCACCCACACGTAAACGGAAAAAAATGAGTTTTAAAAAATCTCAGTTTTTGGTGATAGGAAACGCCGTTTACGTGTGGACGAAACAGCTGCGTTTTCAAAAATATCCGTGTTGGTGTGGAAGTAGCCTAAAAGAGTTAGTAGTTTATTTTATTACTACCTGTCATTTGTTGCAGATTACTTGTATTTGTTGAATTGTTTACTAAATGTTTGAGGTGTGAAAGAAACCGCAATGGAGCAAAATATGGGTGTGTGTGTGGTTGGAGGATGTGTTTGTGCATGTGTGCATGTACGTGCAACAAGGGGGGGGGGTCGCGAACATTATTCTTGTAAAACAACCCCCTTTGTTTTACAGGAAAAATGTTCGCAAACTTTTTTTGCTAGGCCCCCCTGCCTAGCAAAAAAAGTTTGGGAACCACTGGTCCAATTACTGGATTTAGTACAGTAATGTGCTCCATCATTGCCTTACCGAAATGCTGCTCCAGCTAATTTTTCCTGCTTAGTAAATCCTGCCAAGAGTCTTGTCATTAGCTGCATCACAATAAATAAATAATAAATCAGCAGAAAAAATCTACTCACTGGCCACCAAAGAGCTGCATACCCAGCAGAGCAAAGACCACGATGAAGAGGAAGAGCAGAAACAGCAGGCTAATAATGGACTTCATGGAGTTGAGTAGGGATACCACAAGGTTCCTTAATGAGTTCCAGTACCTACACAAAGACACACCAGTATGAATCCATTGTGTAATCCGGTTTTACAGAACACAGACAAACATTTCCATTTACTCACTTGGTGACTTTGAAGATCCGGAGCAGCCTCAGTGCTCGCAGGACACTGATTCCAAATGAAGCCCCAGGCTTCATGGCTGCCCAGACCACCTCAAAAATACTGCCAATGATCACCTGTGAACACAGTTTGATAAATCAAAACTGTCTGAATTTCTTTCTTCAATAATTTGCTACATTTCTTTTCTATAGAACTAGTTCTGAATCATGCTAGTTTCCCTATAAATGTTCTCAAAATGCACAACAAATTGACGAAACAGTCAACTGAAGTGGGCAACTCACCCCGAAGTCAAAACAGTTGAAAGAGGAGTGAAAGTAGTTCTGGGGTCCAAGACCATACATTTTCATGGACATCTCCACCAGGAACAGGCCCAAAAATACAAACTCCGCAAGGTCTGTCCAGAAGAAATAGATATAGCTGATTCTATAGCAGCTATGCCAACAGTGAATAAGACACAGAAAGAGACTATTTGTGTATTACAAAACGCTGTTTGAGTCATGTGTGTTTACACGTGTTGCTGCAGCACAGAACTACAGGAATTAGAGTACTAGTAAAAAAAAAAAAAAAAAAAAGCAGATACAGGCAACGGCAATTTTGTATGCAAGAAAGATGATCTCACCAGGATCATAATAAAGCTGGTACTATAATTCTAATGGAATGCTTCAAGTGAATGGAAGGATGATGAGCAACATGATCTTTAAAGCCTCAAACCTCCACCAGCATCCAAATATGGCACCAACAATCTTAGTTGCAGCTATTTTTGGACATTAACATTATAAGTCAACTACACAAATGTAAGAAAAAAGTCAAAATATAGTTGTACATTTGAAAATTTAATAAATATTTCTTCATTTTTTTATGCACTTCATTTGGAGTGCTTAATGTTAGGGTGAATTAAATTATTTTCATCCCTTTTCCTTTTACATAAAACAAGATGACATAGCCTAAAACATAATGTAACAGAATGGCACATTTTGAGAAGAAACAGCAGAGTGACCTAGTGTTGTTAGTTATGCAGCAATCTTGAAATTTGCTCATGCTTTTTGCCCTCTATACAGGGAGTGCAGAATTATTAGGCAAGTTGTATTTTTGAGGAATAATTTTATTACTGAACAACAACCATGTTCTCAATGAACCCAAAAAACTCAATATCAAAGCTGAATGTTTTTGGAAGTAGTTTTTAGTTTGTTTTTAGTTTTAGCTATTTTAGGGGGATATCAGTGTGTGCAGGTGACTATTACTGTGCATAATTATTAGGCAACTTAACAAAAAACAAATATATACCCATTTCAATTATTTATTTTTACCAGTGAAACCAATATAACATCTCCACATTCACAAATATACATTTCTGACATTCAAAAACAAAACAAAAACAAATCAGCGACCAATATAGCCACCTTTCTTTGCAAGGACACTCAAAAGCCTGCCATCCATGGATTCTGTCAGTGTTTTGATCTGTTCACCATCAACATTGCGTGCAGCAGCAACCACAGCCTCCCAGACACTGTTCAGAGAGGTGTACTGTTTTCCCTCCTTGTAAATCTCACATTTGATGATGGACCACAGGTTCTCAATGGGGTCCAGATCAGGTGAACAAGGTGGCCATGTCATTAGTTTTTCTTCTTTTATACCCTTTCTTGCCAGCCACGCTGTGGAGTACTTGGACGCGTGTGATGGAGCATTGTCCTGCATGAAAATCATGTTTTTCTTGAAGGATGCAGACTTCTTCCTGTACCACTGCTTGAAGAAGGTGTCTTCCAGAAACTGGCAGTAGAACTGGGAGTTGAGCTTGACTCCATCCTCAAGCCGAAAAGGCCCCACAAGCTCATCTTTGATGATACCAGCCCAAACCAGTACTCCACCTCCACCTTGCTGGCGTCTGAGTCGGACTGGAGCTCTCTGCCCTTTACCAATCCAGCCACGGGCCCATCCATCTGGCCCATCAAGACTCACTCTCATTTCATCAGTCCATAAAACCTTAGAAAAATCAGTCTTGAGATATTTCTTGGCCCAGTCTTGACGTTTCAGCTTGTGTGTCTTGTTCAGTGGTGGTCGTCTTTCAGCCTTACTTACCTTGGCCATGTCTCTGAGTATTGCACACCTTGTGCTTTTGGGCACTCCAGTGATGTTGCAGCTCTGAAATATGGCCAAACTGGTGGCAAGTGGCATCTTGGCAGCTGCACGCTTGACTTTTCTCAGTTCATGGGCAGTTATTTTGCGCCTTGGTTTTTCCACACGCTTCTTGCGACCCTGTTGACTATTTTGAATGAAACGCTTGATTGTTCGATGATCACGCTTCAGAAGCTTTGCAATTTTGAGACTGCTGCATCCCTCTGCAAGATATCTCACTATTTTTGACTTTTCTGAGCCTGTCAAGTCCTTCTTTTGACCCATTTTGCCAAAGGAAAGGACGTTGCCTAATAATTATGCACACCTGATATAGGGTGTTGATGTCATTAGACCGTACCCCTTCTCATTGCAGAGATGCACATCACCTAATATGCTTAATTGGTAGTAGGCTTTCGAGCCTATACACCTCGGAGTAAGACAACATGCATGAAGAGGATGATGTGGACAAAATACTAATTTGCCTAATAATTCTGCACTCCCTGTACACTTTAATACTCTGATTCCACAGAACAGGGGCCTGAAAACTGAAGACTCTGCCTCTACTTCTCCCTTTAAATATCCTAGGAACTACAAGTAAGCCCGCACACTGAGAGCAAAGTGCTCAGTTGAGGTGATACTGTACTATAAGGTCTTTAAGACCTGCTGGCGCCTGATTATACAGTACCTTCTATGTGAGGAGAAGAATTTTAAATTGTATTCTGGATTTAACAGAGAACCAATGAAGAGAAGCCAATAGAGGAGAAATATGCTCTCTCTTTCTAGTCCCTGTCAGCACTCTTGTTACTGAAGGCTTCGCAGGGAGTTTTTAGGACATCCTGGTAGTAACAAATTACAGTAGTCCGCTCTAGAAGTAAGAAATTCATGAACTGGGTTTTCAGCATCACTCTGAGACAGGATGTTTCTAATTTTAGAAATATTGAAGAAGAAAGCAGTCCTACATAATTGTTTATTACAGTATGTACATTGAAGGACATATCTTGGTCAAAAAACTACTCCAGGATTCTAGAGGCCAAGGCAAAGCCACCCAGAGTAGGGAATCTGGTTAGATACCATATTTCTTCACTTAATTCCCTGGACTCCCATTATTCTTACTAAATGTCCAATTAGTGCAAAATCAAGTTAAAACAAATCCTTTTTATGCTATCAAAGACATACTGGTTCTTGTCAATCATGATCATTAATGGCAATTTAATAGATGTTTACTGTGTCAAGTTAAAAGACATTGTTCAACCTTTAGCACCACTTATTACAGACTTGTGAGTGTGTGCACATATTGAGCCTATATGTATATGTTTCATATTCTGTGGATTTTAAAAAAAATTAAACCAAATTCCAGCTTGTGCACCCAATTCTTGCTTTTTAAAGTCATTAAATGTGTATGTTGTACAACAATTCCATCCAGGCGAAAGAACTAAGAGTTAAAAGAAATCACTGAAGGCTCAAAATTACCATGACATTCATTCCCATAACGAATGAATGTAAACATCTGACCACAACTGTAATATTGATTTGTTATAACATTACTGGTAAGACGGAACCAACAGGTGTAAGCTATCTACTTTAGGTGGTAAAGAGTGGCATGCGTATTTATGTTTTCATTTTGAATGGCACACTTGCAGTTACTTTCATGTAAATACTGCTTCAACTGTTGATAATGGTCCTCTTCGTGGTTTAACTGGCTAAAAAGCGCTCCATCTCAACAATGAGTAGAGAATCACTTGAAATCCATTTTGACAACTATCATGTTTCAAGCTGTATCATGGCCAAAATAAAATAATAAAGCCATCCATGCACTGATATGAGAATTTTTTATATCAAGTAATGGCTAAAATACATTTAATATTAAGCAACTAGTAACTATAGTTAAAATTGATTTTGAAAACGTACAGGTCCATGAAAACATACAGGATTACAAGAAAATTATTTAAAATGTATAGAACTGTTGAATACTTACATAGTGCATAGGTAAGCCACTCAGGCTGGTCATAGTGTACTATAGCTACACACAGTGTATTTAGGCCAACCAGACATAACACTGTCCAGTAGAAGCTCTGGGATTTAACCAGACGCCGGATGGTGAAGCGAATCCTCTTCTCTTTCCTCCTGAAGTAAGATGAACTCTCATTCTTGCTCTTCACACTTGCCCGAGCATATGGCGACCCTGGGGGGGCAGTTGGAGCAAAAGATACAAAATTGCAATAAAGTTACCAAGTCTAAAAATGAGGTGCTCCTTCCAAATCAAGATATGTTTGATTATAATCAGCTAGAGCCATGGATCTTAAAGTAGATTAAGACTGATCATTCTTACTGACAGATTACAGAATTGGCTTAGTATTCCTGGCACTTCTCATTATATTTATCCTCATCTTTACTTTATTTGGCCCAGACAGCTAAGGAGGTCTGCTTTTACACTTAGCCCAAGGTTAACAACATCAAATCAGCTGTTAGGAAGCATTGTATTATTTTTGACCAGTGTTTGTTTTGAATAGCACCTCTCAAAGATCATCCAGTCTTATTTCTTTAATTTAAGAAACATCCCAAAAATCAAACTGAAACCCAATAATATGTAACTTTTAGTACGCACTAGTGGTGGGTTTAAAAAATCGATTTCCCAATTCAAATTGATTTTAGTTTGAGCAATGTGATATCGATTGATTAAATCCTAAATTGATTTTTAAACACAAATGTATTTTGGCAGAAACACCAGAATCTCAGGTTAAAGCTTACAAAACTAATTCTAGTTTTTACCCTCAAACAACTAAAACAGCAAATGAGAGCAGGTAAACGGATTCTACAAAAAGACGCAAACACAAAGAGCATATCCCAGTTTACCGGGCATGCCGTCAAGTGCTGAACGCCATCTCACAGTACATCTCACAGATTCTGGAGTGGAGCTGCAGGTTTTGTCCCTCTCCAACCAAATTTAACTGAACAAGTAGCAAAAGAAGATCAAAACTACGCTTTACATTTGATAAACATTGTCATGAATTCCCTCTTACTTTTGCTTTTACATCCCCCACCGCTCTCACTCTCAGTGTACTCAGAGGCCAATTTACCATCAAAAAATTGTATTTTCTGCATTATTCACTTACTTATTGTGCTTCCAGGCTTATTACACACCAATTTACTGTTGTGCACAGTGCTTGTTTGTTCAAAAATGACCTCCAACGAGAAAGCATGATTCATGCTGTTCAATACCAAAGAAATTGAAATTTTTACAAATTATGCCAAATTGCAAAGCGCTTAGCTTTGTCTCTAATAAAACCTCTGTAACTTTCAGCAGCATCAGGTAATGTTCATATATTGATTCATGGTTTTCTTCTGTTTTTTTTAATTTTTTAATTCTTTCTTGTTCCTATTTAGCCTCTACTATATTAAACTTTCAGTAACTTAAATTAAGCCCAAATGTCAAGTGGGACTGGACAAAAAAGGAAAGGAGAAAAATGGTTCCATTAGAATTTCATTACTGGCACAGGAAGACTAGTGGGATAATCATTTCCTGTTCTATTTTAAACCCGACCTGTCATGATCCTGGGCCATGTTGGCCCAGCATTTTTAGTTTTCATGTATTTTTGTATTTTGTTCTTTATTTAGGCCATGGCTCCTGTGTTGCTCTGTTAAGTTGTTCCTTATTTGATTTCCCCTTGTGACTTTTATGTGCATGTCTCCCTCAGTTCAGTGTCGCGACTGTCTCCTCCCCGAACATGTGTGCCTTTTTGTGTTCCCTCGGTCCTCAGTTAGCATTCCCAGTTTAGTTCTGTTTCTTTGTGAAGCCTGCAATAAAGCAGTGATTTTGAGTTCAGCTTTTTGTCTCCGTGAGTTTTGCGTTTAGGTCCTCATCTGCCTCCACACAGCCAGTTTATGACAGTACGACGCGACCAGTCATGGACCCAGCAAACTCCTTATGGAATCGGCAGCGTGCAGACTCCGCCTTTCCTAACGAGAGGAGAAGGCAGGAGGCTCGGCACGCCCGGGAGCGCGAGTCTGCCTTTTATGCAGGGCTCTAGAGTGCGACCAATTTGGTCGCAAATGCGACCAAATTTTTCAGTGGTGCGACTAAAAAAAAATATTTGGTTGCACCTGTGCGACCAACTGTTCGGGTAGCAAAAAAAAAAAAAAAATCTGCAAACTTCCCTGTGGTCAACAACAGACACACATTATGCCCCTATCGTGGACTAAACCAATCAGAGATAGTAAGGGGTGGGACCTCTCTGATTGGCCGTGGTCCAGTTGAAAGTGCAGGTGGAAGTGAGAGGTGATTCCTTTGGAAAAATAAACCCCCACGTATAAGCTTAAAAACACTACAAAAGACCAAGGATAAAGGAGGACTAGAACTGCCTAACTTTCAGCACTACTTCTTAGCCAACAGGCTTCAGTTTATCTCAGGATGGCTAAAACATACCGTCTTAGATGAACCTTGGCTAGATGTAGAACAAGCACTTTGCAATAATCTAGAGATCTCAGATCTACCATTTATCAGCTCAAACATCCAACGACATGAATGCTTTAAAAGCATCAACATCAGCTCTTCTCTGACAGCATGGTGGGAGTTTCTAATATTGACGGCGTCTTCATTAATCCCATGCAAACGTACACCTATCTGGAACAACCCTGACATATTACAAAACAATAATATGATAAACTTTTCAGATTGGAGTGGTAAAGGAATCAAATATTTAGAACACATACTAGAAAGAACAGAATTTATTTCATTTGACGGACTAGTTACACAATATGGGATCAACAAGAAAAGATTTTTAGAATATCAACAAATTAAATCCATAGTAAAAAAGAAATTTAAACCGGGTCAAGTTGAACTACAAACACCACCAAGTGTGGTTCAATTTCTTACTCTTAAAACCCCCAAATTACTATCCAAAATATACAGAATGCTTTCTAAAACAGATGAATCAATATCACTTCCTATTGCACAATGGGAAGCGGATTTATTAGTTAACTTTGACCTAAACTTCTGGTCTCAGATTTGCTTAAAAACCTTTCATCTAATTAGAAATCCCAGTCTTCAATTAATTCAATACAAAATATTACATAGAGTGCACTATACAGGTCATCGGATGTTCAAGATGGGCTTTACGTCTACCAACAACTGCTCACACTGCCAAACCAATTCACCGGACAATTATATCCACGCTCTTTGGTTCTGTCTACCAGTTCAGAAGTTTAGCGCGAGATATGTGAAGACTTATCGAAATGTCTGAAATGTAACATTCCAACTTCCCCCTTAGTGTGTTTGTTGGGTAGCTTAGATAATGTCACTTCAGAAAAGAATATCGCCCATATGCATAGCCAAGAAAACAGTCCTCATGAACTGGAAAAATAAAAATAATCTTAATTCTAACCAATATAGAAATTATCTATTAGATTACATTAGTCTTGATACAGCCTCTGCCATCACATCAGATCAATTGCTCTGGGCTCCTTTGATCAGCTCCATCACCTAGTGGGGGTGGGGGGTCATAGTTTGGTCCCGCCTTTACTGTTGTGATTGGTGTGGGGGTAGGGACAGGCTTAGGGCGTCGGGGGGTTCCCCGGAGGCATCTTCCTTGGGGGGCTCAACCCGGGGTAGCGGTCATGTCCGGTTAGGGGCTCTGTTGGCTCTCAGGTGACTGTTTCCTCGCGGCTGCGTGCAGCGGGGTTAGGGGAGGGTCTGTGCTGACGGACGTGGGTTACTGGCTGCCCCTGGGTGGGTCTGGGATGGGCGTGAGGTTCTGGGGTCGCTCCGTCTCTGGGCTGGGGCCCGGGCCGGGCCTCGGGGCTTGGGTCCTGGTTGGTGTGTTGCCGGGGTTGTGGGCGGGTGGGTGCATGGGGGCCCAGCCCTGGAGCAGGGTGCCGCCGGTGCATCGAGCCACCTGGGGGGCTCTTCAACTGGTGGGGGAGATTGTCACATCTTGCAGGAGCTTTCCTCTCTTCAGGAGCTCTCTCTGCAGGAGGGGGAGATACAGGAGAGGTGGAGGAAGATCTCAGCCTGGGTGTTTATTGTCTTATGTAGTCTGGAAGATGAGTGGATGGTGGGGTGGGTGCAGTTTTCTCTGTGGTGGGGTTGGGTGGACTGTCCCGGGTTCTGTGGGGCCGGGAGGCGCTGCTGCACTGTTCCCTCTTCCCGCTCCACCACAACCACCCACACATGCAGGACCTTGGAGTAGAGGTATGTCACCAGGGTGCAGAGGAGGCTACCCCCCCACCCCCCCTCTGTCCCCTTCTGGCTGCCTCTGCCTCAATTTTATCCCACAACTTAGACATTCACATTACTCACACTCTCATTTCACATACATATAGGATCTTGTGGGTGGGCACGATACACGGAATCCAAAGTACCATCAGGGTGTAATAATAATAATAATAATGGATTGGATTTATATAGCGCTTTTCAAGGCACCCAAAGCGCTTTACAATGCCACTATTCATTCACTCTCATACACTGGTGGAGGCAAGCTACGGTTGTAGCCACAGCTGCCCTGGGGCAGACTGACAGAAGTGAGGCTGCCATATCGCGCCATCGGCCCCTCTGGCCAACACCAGTAGGCAAGTAGGGTAAAGTGTCTTGCCCAAGGACACAACGACCAGGACAGAGAAGCCAGGGATCGAACCGGCAACCTTCCGGTTACAGATGCAATTCCCAACCCCCTGAGCCACGGCCGCCCACGGAATCCAAAGTACCATCAGGGTGTACACCTCACCCCTGGCGTCGTTGCCCACCTCTCAATTTTAAATACACGTAGACATTGAGGGCTAGCAGGAGGGACCATGCGCTTACCTGCTGCTCTCTGGCAGGTAGCTCCATGCCCTCCTGGGTTTTAAATGCACCTTAGAACACACATGCATCAACACTACAATGAGCGGGTGGAGGGAGGTTTGGAGTCTTCTCTCACCCCCATTCTCTGCGGCCTGCTGGAGCGGGGGCTAGGAGGAGGAGTTGGCCGTCCGACTGCGGTCTGGAGTGTGGGGCCTCCCTGCTGCTGCGGAGTCGGGGCGGTCTGCCTCCCCCACCGCAGGGAAAAGGGTAACACCACCTGGGTCTGGGTGCAGTTCCCCCCTCCAGGGGCAAGGGTACCTAGACCCGGGTTTGTAGAGTAAGCTTGGGGGGTGTGATCGTGTGTACAGCGTCTCTTTATGTCTGTCTCCACGTTGGTTGAGTGTGGA